CATATTCCCACTATCGTGGTACACATTACTGTCAACTCAGAGGAAAACTTTCTCTTCGATTATCCTGGAAAAGCTGAGACAGGCAGTTTATGGGAGACTTCACCCAAACCAAGCTTGCCTCCGGATAGGGTGCTTCTGCGCAAATCAAATTTTCATTCGGCGTAGGAGCACTGAGCGGAGCCGTTGATCTCAGTTGCCTTGGTTTGCACGTTTCCTATACTTTGAAACTGCATTTCATTCAAAAGTAGAAAACTTTAAAATGCCATACGATACCTAAGCAGATTGTTTCCATTGAAACACACATGTGCAGGAACCATGTCTGCATCAAAGTCGAAGGATAGCCCTGGAGTTCACCAAAGAGATGTGCTTTTGCCCCTGTTATTCAAGGTTGCTTTTTCTATAAGGAAGATGTTGTTTATGATAGCCCGCTAGTTGGCTTGATGACCTGGAGTACGCAGATGATATTATCCTGGAGAGCAACATCGACATAGGCCTCTGCCACCTGACCGCTTCAGTATGTGACATAGCTGCGAAACTTGTCTCCTCCTTAACCCACACAAGTCAAAGTTTATGAGAAACTCATCCTGCACAATTGATTTGCAACCGAAACAGGGAGATAAAGCGCTTTAGGAGGATGGCCAGTCTAAGTATTTCTGCTTCATCATTTTCAGCGATGTCACCATCCAGTCAGTCAGTTTCGATGACCGCAGATCCCTTAGAATCGCAGAAGGAGATGCGTAAGACAGTGCTTCAAACGTTCCAGTTGAAACTGCTTTAATCACAACGTTTTAGGTTAGTTTACGCAGTAAACAGACCCTGAGATACGTGAACTTATCCACCTATTCCACTGCATCTTTGATTATTTGCAGAGCACAGGAAAACATTTTATTTTAAACATCTGAAATATAAATAATCTTATTAACTGTATCGTATAGTCAGCTATTCTTCTGCATTTTCTTTCTAGCATTTTTCCGCCGACTTTCCCGGGAAGCTCAGTGAGGCACTGTCCTGACAGTGTAGCACTCCCTATGGTTTCTCTTCTTGAACAGTTGCGCCACAGTCCCCGCTCTTCAGTACATTGGTGTGTTCCCCGTAACCACCGCAGTTACACAGGCACATGTCCTGCTTGCCTAACGCTTCAAACATTTGAAAGCGAATTTCATCGCTTTCAGAAGCCTTGCCATTTTTTGAGCATTTCGCACCTTTTGTTACTGCAACTACGGAAGCACCATTATTCGTTGCCTGTTGTCCTTCAAGGGAATCTTCCAGGGATTGCTCGGGGTTGAGGAGTTGCTCAAACACTCCCTACACCGCAGGAAATGTTTCTTTATCCTTGGTAAGAAAGTGTCCAGACTTGTCTTTCAGGGCTCTTTTGACTGCCTTTCATTCCGTCTCATGGGCAGAAGATGGTCTGCCAGAAAGCATTGTTTGCCGTCTGGAACTACGGCTCCAGCACCTTACCGATCTTTTCCCAGGAATCGACTTTCTCTTTCGATACTGCATTTGCTGCCGCCTTCAGCGTCTCCTCATACTACATTCAAGTTGAAGACTCTGTGCTTCTAAGGCATCTCTTGAATGCAGCCTTCTTTCCCCTGACTGCTAGTTGAATCTCTCGTGTCCACTACGAGGTCCATTTCTGTCCACCAGGCGGCAGGCCAAGCCGACCGCTGCACTTGGCGGCAACCCTGAGCAAGCCGATCTTAAATAGCCTTCACTTGGTTTCCACATCAGCGGTCATCACTAAGATCTGTTCATACTGTCATACGATGTCTGCAAGTCTTGTCCTCCTATCTACAGAAGACAATGTTTCCGATCTGACTGTCTGAGTGCTTCCGCCGCCAAATCTTTGCATGGTACTCAAATGCTGGCAGCAGAGGGTACCAACAGTAAGGTGGTGATGATTTGGCAGCGCTGCGCGTCTCCTACCGCAAAAATCCATTGCATAGTGTCGTAAATCCGGCGATACGACTATCAAGTTGGTCATCAAATTCTGTACACAAGCTTCCCTAAGCTAGATATACTGATGCACATTTCGATGCTCGAAGGTGTTCACAATGGACAGACCGTTGTCTGTACAAAACCGCAACAACTTCAAGCAGTTATTGTTCAAATCGCTATGTTCGTTCTTTCCGACCACGACTTTTCAGTATCTGTTTCGACATGCGCATTGAAATCGAACATTACAATGACAGATTCCGTCCGTACTCAGCAGTTCATAGGGAGCACATTCTACTTCCTCCAGAAGGACCTATATTCCCCTTCCAAATTTAGCACATAGACTCGTAACAAAGTGATAGCTTTTGCCTGTTGCAGCATCAGTCGGAGGATTGCCACTTCCACTGACAGGCTTCCATT